GCGCTAGCGCCTGCCTGATCTCGATTGTCATGGCTCACGTCACGTGAACCTCATGAGGTTTGCCCTGCCTTGATCTCTCCGCCCCTCACGAGCCAACCTGGCGAGGCCGCTCCTGAGGAGGTCTCGTGTCGCCCGCCTCGCGAGGGTCTTGGATGTCTTGTTGACGAAGATAGGCCATACGGGCCCACCCGCAGAGCCATGTCGTGGGCCATAGGCAGGCAAGTCTGGGGACCCTCGTTCCCAGAATGCCGACAACCGCCACAGCATATTAGACCGCAATACCGGAGTTTCTGCGAAATTTCTGTGCTTATGTATGCATGCATATTATTTGTGAGTAGCAGTAATATGTGATGTTGCTTGATTTTAATGTTATTAGTATGCTTGTGTGCTTTTGGCTTTCGTCGTTCCTTTCGTCTCTTCCTTTGGGACTTCGGTGTTACATATTTTTCCCCATATTAAAGTTGCTCGTCCAACGACACCGGATCAAAAGCATCAGCAAGGAATGCATATACTTGGAAACTCAGCTAAACAGAATGGAATTCTCAGCTGACGGCAGTGAAATGTGGAATATCTGATCGTGATGCTGAGCATCAAGTTTACATTAGCACAACAGTACGGATAATCAAGTCTCCCTCAGGGTGCACTCTTCATAGCAGTAATGATCAAATCAGCAAGAAGATTAATTATGTGCAAGATCAATAGTATATTATCAGTCAAAGGTAATCAACAGCAGAAATATTAAGATAGTATGTGTATGTGGTAATCGGTCCGCATATCACAATGAGAAGCTTCCGGTGTAAGCAACCTAGTCGTTCCTCGCAGGCTACCAGAGAAGCTTCCAGTGCAAGATTCATCTATCTTCCTCGACATGATATATGGATGACTTCCGGTGCAAGATACTCCGTCTTCTTCAATAAGCAACCACAAAAGCTTCCGGTATAAGGTACTGAGTCTTCCCCAGCAAGTCTTTAAGGGGGGGAGCTTCTGAAGCACGATACCCAGTGTTCCCCAACAAGATACTCTCGATGGTTTCCAGCATAAGCCATCCAGTCATCCTCAGTACAACATTGGGACAAGATATTGCACTATGAATCGGCAGCATTTGGTAGTGTATCCCAAGAAATAGACCCGCAACAGTTTGGTCAGAAGCAAGAATCATTCAGAACACAAGACTGCCTCGGAAATCAG